GCTCACTGGGTGAGCATGGTGCTGACAACACCAAGTCAAGGGTTAAGATCCCCCTACCGGTCATCTTTAAAAAAAAAAAAAAAAAAAAAAGGTATCATTGAATTTTGGCTTTTGTGGGGTTTTTTTTTTTGGCAGTGACCAGTGCAGGGATCCAAACCTTGGTGTTATCAACACATAAAATACAGTTTAATAATGTCATATAGTACACAAGCCCAATTGTTTTAAGTCAAACATGCAAAAACTAGAACCACTTGTTTATATATGTGTTATTTTACATTGAGAACCTGATTTTTATGTTAGTAGATACAAGAGTCTACCCAATGATTTACCACTTTCAATGCCTGAAAGTTCTGTCTTAAACACCTTAAATCCATTTATATTTTACACAAGAAAGGAGTAAAGATTGTGTTTTTAATATTTAAAAAGTTGTGTTCTTTGTTGAGATGCTTGAAAGGAGTGCATATGACAATGTGATACAAAGATTGACCATAGGGACAAAGTTATACATTGGATGAGTCAAACTAGCTTCATAAATCTAGATTTTACCTACATGCATGGTGACCTCTTGCATTTCCTTATGTCTTAGAATTTTTTACAGTCTCCTTTTGTGATTAAGGTATAGTCACCTTTCTGGCATTTGCTGTGTAGGATCCATGTAAACAAAGTATTTGTTGGGTAGGATAAACATGACTCTGGCTGCCAATGGTTTAATCTAATTTAATGGGTGGCTTCAAGTGCTAATTAGCTAAGAGTAGTTACTAGTATTTATTAGTGTAAAGACTAAGATGCTATAGCAAAGAGAAGGCAAAAATATAGTAACTTAAATAATGCAGGAACTTATTTCTCTCTCATGTAAGAGTTTAGCCTGTCTAGGCTGGTAGAGAGAGCAGCTCTTCTCAGTAGGGTTAATCAAGAACTAAGTTTACTTTTCTATCTTGTTCTTCCATCTCCTTGGGCATTGTTGTTTTCTATGTGATTGAAGCCTTTCTCTCTCATTCATTATTCACTTTACAAAAAGGTGAGATATGCCAGAGTCCAGAGAAACTAGCCTGTTAGGTTAGAGATGACTAACTTGGAAATTATACACATATTTCAATCATCATTGACTCAAACTTGGTCATATGGACTCATGTAGCTGCAAGAGAGATTGGGAAATGTGGTCACTGGCTGGGTAACTGTATCCAGGAAGAAGGAGAGCAGTGGTACGCTACAATATCATAGAATATTAAGAATATTGAAGGCCCAGAAGAGGAAAACAAAGCCACTAGGTAGCACCCCCAAGCAAACATCAAATGTTCATTTCTGCCACTTATAGGATATAAGTTATTTTAGTATGGGGAATGGTAGTAATTGCCTTAATTGAAAAGCAGATTTTGAATAATGTTGCAATTGAGAGAATTTTAGATTATGTACTCTTTTCAGTAAAGTAAGGTTGCCATTGTGTCTTTTTTCATATATTTTTTTCTTTTTCTTTTCTTTTTTTTTCTCCTTAGGTATGGGGATCTAAATCCTTGACCTTGGTGTTATCGGCGCCATGCTGTCCCAAGGGAGCTAAATAGCCCACGGATGCCATTGTGAACAAGCAATAGCCTTTTCCTGATGCTAAAGTACCCATGAGGGCCACAAAGTTTTCTATTATTCTATAAACTGGACTATCTTTATTAATCCAAGGTGTCAACATTCTTTGTGCCCTCCTGGGCCACAAAAGTAGTAGTTTTAAAATTTGAATATGTATAAAAATCACCTGGGGTAATTGTTAAAAATATGTATTTTGGGGCAATAACCCAGAGATTCTGATTCAGTAGGTCTGGTAGGCCTGAAAAACCTGTCTCTTAATGGAAACCACCTACTGAGGCAACATGAATTAGAAGAATGAGGAAGGGCCAGTCAGTTAGCTTAGTTGGTTAGAGTGTGGTTCAATAACACCAAGGTCAAGAGCTTTGATCCCCATGCTGGCCAGCCACCTTCCCCTCTACCGCCCACCCCCCCACCACCAAAAAAAGGAGAAGGAAGAAAGAGGGGAGAGGAATCTTTTTAAAAAAAAATTATTTGACACATGTTTATTGTACAAATGCATGGGGTAGAGTTACATTTCAATATGTGCATGTAATGTGTAATGATCAAGTCAGGGTAATTAGTACATTCATCAACGAAAAATTTCTTTGTGATGAGAACATTTGAGCTCCTCTCTTCTAGACATTTGAGAACATTTAATAAATTCTTGTTAATTATAGATGTCTCCTATTATTCTATACCACTAGCACTTATTTTTCCTATCTAGCTGTAATTTTGTATCCATTAACCAACCTATCCCTATCCCCCTTCAGCCTCCCCTTCTCAGCCTCTATTAACCACAGTTCTAATCTCTACTTCTAAAAACTCAAGCTCAATGTTTTGTTTTGTTTTTTAGCTCCTATTTATGAGTGAGAATATATGGTATTTTTCTTTCTGTGCCTGACTTATTTCACTTAACATAATGTCCTCCAAGCTCATCCATGTTGCCACAAATGACAGGATTTCATTCTTTTTCATGGCCGAGAAGTATTCATCGTAGTGACATACCACATTTTCTTTATCCGTTCATCTGTTGACTGACACCAAGGTTCATTCCATATCTTGACTGTTGTGAATAGTGCTGCAATAAACATGGGGTTCAGATGTCCCTTTTGTATGCTAATTTCCTTTTCTTTTCATAAATATCCAGCAGTAGGATTGCTGGATCATATGGTAGTTCTCTTTTTAGTTTTTTGAGGAACCTCCATACTGTTTTCCATAATGGCTGTACTCATTTATGTTCCCACCAACAGTTTATAAGAGTTCTCATTTCTCTGTATCCTTGCCACCATTTGCTATTTTTTGTCTTTTTGATAATAGCCATTCTAACTGGGGTCAGATGAGATCTCATTGTGGTTTGATTTACATTTTCCCAATGATTAATGCTGCTGAGTATTTTTTCATGTAACTGTTCACTGTTTGTTTGTTTTTTCATAAAGATGACCAGTAAGGGGATCTTAACCTTCAACTTGGTGTTGTCAGCACCACGCTATCCCAAGTGAGCTAACCAGCCATCCCTGTGTAGGGATCCAAACCTGTGGCCGTGGTGTTATCAGGACAACACTCTTCCAAGTGAGCCACGGGCTGGCCCCATCTGTTCGCTATTTGTATATCTTCTTTTGCAAAATGTCTATTCAGGTCATTTTCCCATTTTAAAATTAGATTATTTGTCTTTTTGCTGTTGAGTTGTTTAAGTTTCTTGTATATTCTGGATATTAATCCCTTGTCTGATGACTAGTTTGCAAATATTTTCTCTCACTCTGCTGCTCACCTCTTCACTCTGTTGATTGTTTCCTTTGCTGAGCAGAAGCTTTTTAGTTTGATGTAATCCCATTTGTCCATTTTTGCTTTCGTTGTCTGTGCTATAGAAGTCTTCTCCAAGAAATTTTTGTCCAGACCAATGTTTTGGAGTATTTCTTCTATGTTTTCCTTTAATAGTGAGAAGCTTTTCTTGACCCTACAGGTCAAATTAAATTTCTTGAATGTTTGCTTCCTTACTTCCCATTCATACCTCAACCCTTCTCAGCCTGGCTT